AAAAATCCACCACTAGTGGAGCAGAAACATCTACAACAACAGAGACTTCCACAATCACGACTCCTGCTGAAACATCTACCAGTAGTGTAGCAGAAACATCCACAACAACAGAGAGCTCCACAATAACAACTGCTCCTGAAACATCCACCACTAGTGCAGCAGAAACATCTACAACAACAGAGACTTCCACAATCATAACAACTGCTCCTGAAACATCCACCACTAGTGCAGCAGAAACATCTACAACAACAGAGACTTCCACAACCACGATTCCTGCAGAAACATCCACCACTATTGTAGCAGAAACATCTACAACAACAGACACTTCCACAAACACAACAACTGCTCCTGAAACATCCACCACTAGTGCTGCAGAAACATCTATAACATCAAAGACTTCCACAAACACAACAACTGCTCCTGAAACATCCACCACTAGTGCAGCAGAAACATCTACAACAACAGAGACTTCCACAATCACAACAACTGCTGCTGAAACATCTGCCACTAGTGCAGCAGAAACATCTACAACCACAGACACTTCCACAATCACAATTGCTCCTGATACATCCACCAGTAGTGTGGCAGAAACATCTACAACAACAGAGACTTCCACGATCACAACAACTGCTCCTGAAATATCCACCACTATTGCAGCAGAAACATCTTCAACAACAGAGACTTCCACGATCACAACAACTGCAGCTGAAACATCCACCACTAGTGCAGCAGAAACATCTACAACGACAGAGACTTCCACGACCACAACAGCTCCTGAAACGTCCACCACTAGTGAAGCAGAAACATCTACAACAAAAGAGACTTCCACGATCACAACAACTGCTCCTGAAACATCCACCACTAGTGAAGCAGAAACATCTACAACAACAGAGACTTCCACACACCAACAGCTACAACAACAGGGCCTCAGCTACCACAACAACTGCTGCTGGAACATCCACCACCGGTGAAGCAGTTATCACAACAGTGCCACAAACAACAACTACTAGTGGAGCAGTTACCATGACAGCACCACCGACATTTATGTCATTCTCTCCATCTTTAAATGTCTCTGAGAGCACAACTGTTAGTACCATTCAAACATCTGGAACAACAACAACAACAGGATTCTCTGCACTAAAAACAGAAACTTCTGTTTTTACTTCAGCAACTCCCTCTTCAACTCCCTTAAACACTACAAATGGTAGCACAGCTGGAACATCAACACATTCATTTGCCTCGACCACTAATAAAACCACTGTCTCAACCACTAATGCAACAACAACAACAAGACTCTTGACATCTACAACTCAAGTGCCTGCGACTACAACTACAAAATCTGCACCCGTGTATCTAACAGTTCTGGTGTTCCGCTCTTTAGACAACTTTACAGTTGAACTCAGTGATCCAACCTCTCAGGCCTTCAAGAAAAGGGCTCAGCTTGTCAGATCTCAGGTGAGTTAAAATAAACTTAACAAGATTCACAGGTGAGACACAGAAAATATCTTGCCTGTACCCATGAAGTAAAAAAATCTTCATCAGTAATCAATGTAATTTAACAAAAAAAAATTATAATAATAATCTGATTGTGATTTTGACTGCCTGTTATTGTACTTTTACTCTTGCAGCTTGAAACAATCTACAAAGCAAAATATATTTCCTTTATTGAAGTGATTGTCTTGCTTTTCAGGTAAATAAGGAATTTATGTGCATTGTGGGTTAAAAAAAATAACCATGTAGTAACCTTAAAATAAAGGTAATTTGCTCATGTTGAGGAATCCTATGACATTCTTTTATATTTTCCAGACAAGGGTCAGTAATCACGGAAACACAGCTAGCTTTCAACTCCACACAACCTGTTCCAACTGTTCAAGAGATTTCAGACACCCTCTTTACAGCAGTGATAACAGGAGGTGTCAATCCACTGAACATAACTCCTTATTCAATTTCAGTCAATGGTTCGAGTAAGTTTGCTTGCATTTCAGAAAACATCTTACAAATTCTGAAAGTCTTAGAAAAACTGTGCCTACCACTTTTGCTCAGTAGATCTTGTAAAATGTACAACTTTCATATCACTATGTATACTGACAAACAAAACACAGTGCATTTTGTTTACCTAATTTGTACACCTTTTTTCTTACAGTTATTAACGTGACTACTTCAACTACAGCATCAACAACAACAACAACAGCAATGACAACAATAACAACACCGACAACAACAACAACAACAACAACAAGACCCTTGACATCTACAAGACCCTTGACATCTACAACTAAAGTGCCTGCAACTACAACTACACAATCTGTACCCATGTATCTAACAGTTCTTGTGTACCGTTCTTTTGACATATTTATAATTGAACTCAGTAATCCAAGCTCTCAGGCCTTCAAGTCAAGATCTGAGGTTGTCAGATCTCAGGTGAGTTCAAATAAACTTACAAGATTCACAGATGACACACAGAAAATATCTTGTACTTAAGAGAAAAGAATACAGATATTTTAGACCAAAGCCAAACATACTGTATAAAGGGATTTGCTATTATTTAAATTGTTTAGTTTACCATAAATAAGTGACACATTTTGTTTTCCCCCCTCATAAAGTAAAAAAAGTCCTCAACGGCTATCAGTGTAATTTAACAAATAAAAAAGACCATTCTGATTGTGGTTGTGACTGCCTGTTATTGTATGTTACAGCTTGAACCAATCTACAGAGCAAAATATCCTTCCTTTATCAGAGTGATTGTCATAAGTTTCCGGTAAATATGGAATTTATGTGCATTTTGGGTATATATATATATATAGATATATGTTAACATATATGTTATTAAGGAATCTTATTTGGCATCCTTCTATTTTTTCCAGTCCTGGGTCAATCATCACAGAAACCCAACTAGTTTTTAACTCCACACAACCAGTTCCAACCGTTCAAGAGATTTCAGAATCCCTCCTGACAGCAGTGGTAACAGGAGGTGTCGATCCACTTAACATAATCCCTTCAACAGTTTCAGTCAATGGTTCAGGTAAGTTTGATTGCATTTCAAAACCTATCTTGCTACATATTCTGAAAGTCTTACAACAACTGTGCCTAGCACTTTGGCTCAATAGACAAAAACGCGTACACACACACACACACACACACACAAAACTGTAATAACCACCTAACAAACTGCTATGCAAACTGTCATTGCAGAGGTTTTCATCTTCCACTTCAGATAAGTAATGCTCCCAAACAATGCAAAGCTTTAAAACATTTTTATTGTGCTAGTCACAAAACAAGTGTGTTGTACACTCACTAATTTAATTGAATGTAATAATCATTTGTCAGATGTCCCTAAAAACTCTACAATGCCTTATGTACTGTATACTGCATAGGGTATTTTAAAATCATCTTTTTGCTGAAAGTGTATGACTTTTTCATATACGGCATGATTACAGATTGACAAATTGCATGCAGTGGGAAAATATCTCCTTCTCGTGCCATGAAAAAGAAATGTCTCTTGATCTTTACCAGGTGACATAATTAGAGCACATGACCTCTTTTCTCTATATAATTGCCTGTGTTTGTTCTGGGGTGCAAGGGATGTTTGTCAGAAAGTTTTAATGACCAAAAGTACATTAACTACAAGCACAATCCTCCTTATGGTTCAGTGTCTTTAATTTTGTGGAATCATCTTACTGTGCGTGTCTGAAACAGACATACAGTACAGTTAAAAATAATTGATGGGATTGTTTGCCCCCATAGCAGTGTGATATGCAAGAGCCACGTTTGCTTTCAAGACAGAAGTCAGTTACATTTAATACTAGAAGCTTTTTCATTTCTAGATTTCATGTCTACATGCATGGCTATTACACTGAATAGATGTCTGGGTGACGTTTATGTACAGTACTATCTAGTACGGTGTTTTTGTGACAGCTTACAGAATCAAACAGTTCATTTCTTTGACTCATTTCAAGTACTGTGACTTCAATTCAATTCAATTCAAGTTTATTTGTATAGCGCTTTTTACGATACAAATCGTTGCAAAGCAACTTTACAGAAAATTAAGTTTCTACGATATTTAGTAGTAGCTTATCAGTCGTGACTGTCAGTTAATGTACATATGGCAGAAATAACTTGACCTTTTCTTTGGCAGGTTTGTTGATTTGTTTGCGGTGAACCACTGACTTGACCAGTCTTGCTTGCTTGTTTGCATAACAGGCTTAACTCGAAACTTATTTTGTGACATGCTTGTGATTTGTGATATGCAACTCACCTTTTATAATATAAAGATAAGTTGTGAGTAGGCTTTTTTTTTTAAAGGGAGCATAGCTTTACATCAGTCCTATTTTACTTTATTTTTACTCATCTTTGCTGTTATAGAGAAGGTGATGTTAGCTATTACCACAAGTAAACCCATGTCTTCATGCGTGTGTACTGAGATGACTGGATTTTACGTTGTCCACGTCTGTTTGTCTTTTGTTTTCATTCATTCATTTGACAAGAGACTTGTCTTGCATAACAGTTTTGCTTCTTTTAACTATGTGCGTCATGTTATTGTGTGTTTCAGAGAATGTGTGAAAAAAATGAAATAAAGTCCATGCATACATATATCTTTCAGGTGTTAGGAGGTCTTATGTTGTATGAATAACAAAGCATTTCTGTCATAATGGGTCTTAGTATAGTTGAAACAGGTCTTGGGTCAATGCCTGAGGGATTCTACAACTCTGACATTCTTCCGCCTTAACACCTTCTGTATAATTCTAGGTGTTGACAGTCTTTTATAAAACGATCTGCAGAGATTAAAATGGTAACAAATAAGGGTAAATAAAACGCCCACATTTTCAGAGTGTCACCATGAATGGAATGTCACACGGTCACATTCTTTGCTGTTGAATAACATTGCACAACCTATCTTGTTCGCCCCAGACAATTCTAGGCTGCCTTTATCTCTCTGTGAAGACTGTGAAGTTTTCTGATGAATGGGACTTCAAAGTGAGAATCTTTGTGTTTATTTGTGCTGTACTGTGGATTATCACTTAAAGGTTTTTTTTTTTAAGTGAGACTACTAAAATGACAGTGAACTGATATAAGGTCACATTCTTTGCTGTTGAATAACATTGCACAACCTATCTTGTTCGCCCCAGACAATTCTAGGCTGCCTTTATCTCTCTGTGAAGACTGTGAAGTTTTCTGATGAATGGAACTTCAAGTGAGAATCTTTGTGGTTATTTGTGCTGTACTGTGGATTATCACTTAAAGGTTTTTTTTTTTAAGTGAGACTACTAAAATGACAGTGAACTGATATAAACTATGGTACTTCATTGTGATCGGCCTAAGTAGTTAAATTACACAGCTGAAATGGAAAAGTTTTGAATACAAGATTTATTTTCTTTGTACCTGCCTGCAGAACACAGTTTAAAGTGATAGTTCACTTTAAAAAATGAAAATTAGGTCATTATTCATTCACCCTCATGTTGTTAAAAACCTGAGAATGAAACCAATGAAAGTCAACTAACCTTCAAAATATATTATTTTGTGCTTCACAGAAAAAAGAAAGTCATACAGGTCAGGAACGCCATGGGGCGAGTAAATGACAGATTTGTGGGTGAACTATATCTTTAAGTGTTTCAATGTCAGTATTACAGGTGCTAATAAGAGATGAAAGAAGATGTATTTTTAGGCAGGTGTTCATCCACTAGCAGTATTTTAAAGCAAATTCATGCCTGCCCTCTGCTGGCCAAATACATGCTTATCTTTAAAAAAAAGCCCAAGAGTAGGTAATATGAGGACCGAGAGTAACTGGGACAGCAGGCACAACTCTGTGATTTTGCTATCCCATGAACTGTTCATGTAGCAAGACTTTTATTCTTTCTAATTCCCAATGTTTCTCCTCGCTCAATACAGTGTCCCAGATAACAAGTACTGCATAAAATACCCAACCATGCTCAAGCTTTTTTTTTTTTTTTAAATGTTAAATTAGTTTATGAGAAGTAATACTCGCTCAATACAGTGTCCCAGATAACAAGTACTGCATAAAATACCCAACCATGCTCAAGCTTTTTTTTTTTTTTAAATGTTAAATTAGTTTATGAGAAGTAATACTTAAGGTACAGTAACTTATATTAAATCTACTGAAGTATCAAAAGTGCAAGTAAGTGCGTGGCATAAATAATAACACAGCAGACTAACAGCTATGGAAACTTAGGCAAGTATTATCAAAATACTTTATATAGGTGTTGTGATATGAACAAACAGACAAAAGACACACTGTAAAAAATGACCGTGAATTTAACGGTAAAAGACTGTAAAAATGCTATAGTAAAATCCTGTTAAATGGTTAATGGTAAATTCCCCTACTATATACGGTGAAAAACTGTATTGGACATTACATGTAT